TATATATATATATATATATATATATATATATAAAAGAATGATAATTGGCGCTTAATTGCGTCTAGGCGTGCCTTAGCGGTCAACGGCAATCATTGACTGCCAAATAAGGTGCCAAGCCGCTTGGCTTGGCGTTTTGGCCAAGCATCACATTTAGGCGCCACCTTTTATAACACTGAGTTTGACTTAAAATTTAATCTTAACTTTTTAGTGGAACCAAATAGACAATAAATTTCTCCAAGACAACCAGTAAGTGCCTAACATTTATTGAGGGAGTTACACTACACTTACAGAATTTTTAATTGCAGATATTTTACAAAGATACATTGGTAGTGTGGGTGGTAGATTTTTTGGCATTTTATATCACACATGGGGCCCGCGATCAGTGAGGATTCTGGCCAGATTTCCTTATTGAAGTGCCTTCGGCTACCACATGCCCTTCTTTCTGTGGCCTAGCAGTCTGGCTTGCATTGATGTACAGATTACACATTTTTAGAAACGTCCAGAAGTCGATTTACAGGTGGACTGGAATGATTGTATTACAGGAAGTTTGATAATTTTGAAGGAGAAACAATATACGCTTTCATTGATAAATGCTGTTAAGAGTTAAAGACTGTACCTTGAGACACAGAGAATACTCCTGCAAACTGGGAATCAAGCATTGTCTCTTCATTATGTAAATTCTGTTCATTTCAATGAAACGATTTTTATATAGAAGCAGCAGTATGTCTTATTAATTGGGTGCCTAGGACACATTTCCATCCTCATGCGACTTCCAGCATAAAATGAAATAATATAAGTTCTTCCACAATTTCATCTTCAGACAGTGTTACATTGTGTCATGAGTTCAAGAACACCCCGGTTACTGCTCGTCACCAATCAAGAGATAAAATAAAACCCATATGTAACACTTAAGATAATACGAGCATTCAATCTACATACTTTCCAATATTCTCCGGCCTTTTAGCATCCAATACATTAACTCACCTCGTTCACAAGCGCTAATAACCCACAAAACATGAAGCACTGAGTTCTCCTGGGCCAACCATTAAACAATATACGTATACGGAATCCCTCTACAAGTTTGCCTCCAATTTCCCTTAAAGAGTCTCCCACAACCATTTCCCCCTTCATGTTCGAGTACAAAACTCACCCAGTTCTGCACCTCGAAAATGAGAACTATGTTGTTTCTGGAGTATAAGTTTTTCCTTTAAACAATCCGAAAGAATTACCGTAACAGTATTATAAAAAAATTAAATTCGAGCCCACCGACTTCACGATGTTTCCTTAGAACGAATTTACTGCCTTCAACAGTGTTAAATGTCTCTGCCTTCAACAGTGCTAAATGTCTCCAGCAATCGTTTCCCAAAATAGAACAAATTTCGTCTCTTATAGAAGCAGCACAGCAATTTGCAAGAATTCCAACGAACACAACGAAGTGTTTCTACTTCGAAAACAATATCAGAACGAGAAGGAGAATAAGATTCAAAGTAGAGAAAATTTGCAATGAAAATTGTGTAATTTTTTCTGGCAACGGGGCAGGCTATTTATAGACTTGTTCGTGGCCATTCGAACATCCTCCAAAACAGTCGTCACTGTTCAGACAGCCTCTAAAACTCCAACAGACATGTTAATTCAATACTGCATCTGTTAAGTTGGCTAATGGTCGATGGTTAACAGTCGACTGTTTAGCAGACCATCCACACCAAAAATTACCCGAAAAAAGCCATTGAAAAAAATAAATTTTATTAAGTACCCAAGAATTTGATTGTATACAATTTGGTCCAAAAATTCAAATAAATTTTGTCCAAAAAATTAATTTAGTGTAAAGACGCATCCGCACCGAACCGAACTCGGACCCAGGCACGTGCTCGTGCTGAGTCGGTCAGATGGCGACGACAAGCGCGCGTATGGGTTCATGACCGAACATGATAGGATATATGTCTCCCCCCTTCCAAAGACTATTGGTACCCCTTGGGGCCCAAACCCAATTTCCAAATTTGTACCATATAAACTACATCAAAGTTTCATAACTTTCCTATGTGGGATAATTGTTTGGGCAAATCAAATTCTTCACTAATTCATAGTTTTAAGTGGGTTACTTTGACATTAAATATTTCATTCAATTCTAAATGGTTTTCGATAAATAAATATACCACGTTCATCATCTTGCGAAGTAAAACGTGAATATACTAGGTCTCGTATTAATTAAGATGTGGGTCCCACTGAAATTTGGGTCCAAAGTTGACCCATTTCATACCATTTTCTAACAATCACCCACATGAATAAAATATGTCGGCATTTTCCAAACAATAACATCTGATATGTTTTTCAGAAGAAATTTGAAGAAAACTGCATCAAGATAAATAGCCAAAAACTTTGAACTTTCCCTAGTAAAATCATCGGATTTACTTAATCAATCAGTAGCAAGTTGCTTTGAACAGTCAGTCGTTCATGTAAACCTAGACAATAGAAGTCACATAGTTCTCTTCGAACACAATTGATTATCACGTTTGTGTCCATTTTGGCCTTTGACACCTCTTCGTTCATGAGTATTTTTTAGAGAATTCATCTTCATCTATTTCTCTTAGAAACGGCCCCTTCTCACCCACATAGGTGATTTCCATAAAGGGTGTTCTACTATACTCCACTTGAACGAATCAAGATATGAAAACCATTAAAAGCATAACTTAACCCATTTCGCGACAGTTAGGCACTGACTCATCATAGGAATGGGTAGGAGTAATAATCTCCCCAGTGCTTACTAAGTTTTTCACAGTTCGGTTGTCCCATTGAACCTAAATCTTG